ACTGCTGCATTTGGGTTAGGCTTCTTATTTTTGTAGAGCCTTAGGGTTACATCATTAGGCTATTTATTTGAGATCTTTATTTTTCAAGTGTGAATACTTACAGCTATAAACATCCTTTTTTGGGCTAGAAGGATGTTTCATTTTCATTTTCATTTGATTCTAGGAATTTTTAAATTTCATCCTTGGCTTCTTCAGTGATCCACTATTCATTCAAAAGTGTTTTGTTCAGTTTCCAAAGTTCTTTTTCTGGTTTATCTAGCTGTTGATTTCTATTCTAGTTCTAGTCCCCTGTGGTCCAAAAAGATACAGGGAATTATTGTAATTACTTTTTATTTTTCAAGGCTTGCTTTGTGGCCTACAGTGTTAATTTTGGAAAAGTTTCCATGTGCTGTTGAGAAGAATGTGTATTCCCTATCTTGTGGGTAGAATGCTCTGTAGATGTATGTTAAATCCAGTTGATCTGTGGTATAATTTAGCTCTGAAATTTCTTTGATGATTTTTAGTTTGTAAGAGACACACACATATACATACACATATATATGAAAGTGGGTATCAAAGTCTCCCATTATTATTGTGTCAGGACCTGTGTGTTCTTCTATGCCTTTTAGAGTTTACTTTATGAAATTGGGGTTCCCAAGATTCAGTGCATAGATTTATTTTCTTATTTGTTGTTCTGGTTGGTTGGTTCTTTTCTTTCTTCTTGTAGTTTTGAATGTTTGCTGTTTGGGATCTGATTGATTCCTTTGTGGTTCTCCTCTGATCATCTGTTGCTCTTATGAAATACCTTCTTTCCTGTGTTCTCGTGTATGAATCTTTCTCATTACTCTGTGTATAGTATTCTTGTAAGAATTTTTTGCAGTGCTGGTTTAGTTGTCATGAATTGCCTTCACTTGTGCTTGTCTTGAAATATTCTTGTTTCTCCATTAGTTTTAATAGTACTTTTGCTGGACATAGCAGCCTTGGTTGAGAGTTATTTTCAGGGTTTGGGATATATCATTCCATGCTTTCCTGGCTTTTAGAGTTGCTGACAGCAGATTTGATGTTATTTTGATGTTTCTGTCTTCCGTATGTTACTTGATGTTTTTCCCTAACAGCTTTTTGTATTGTTTTTAAAAAGTATTTTATTTATTATTTTAATTTTATGTGTATGAATGTATTGCCTGCATGTATGTAAGTGCGCCTATATCATGCAGTGCTCTTGGAGGTCAGAAGAGGGGGTCAGGTCCCCTGGTTGTTAGCTGTCATGTGGGTTCTGAGAACTGAACCTGGGTCTTCTGCAAGAGCAGTCAGTTCCTGAACCTGGGCAAGAGCAGTCAGTTCTCTTAACCATTGGACAATCTCTCAAGCCCCTGTTTTGTGTTTTTGACATCTTGACCACATGTTGTGGAGAAGTTCTTCTGTAATCATGATTATTTGGGGTTCTGGGTTCTACCTGTGTTTAGATGCCTCAGTTTCCTTGTAAGATATTTCCTCCATGCTTAAAAATGGTTGTTACAAGATATGCTCTTGCCCTTGCCTTCAATTGATTTCCTAACATTCTTGTTCAGATTTTGAATTACTTATCTGTTTGAGTCCTTTAGTTACTGATTCTTTTTAGAAAAAGGATCCTGAAATCTTTTTCTGGTGGTTCAGTTATCTCATT